TTATTCCAAGAATTGCTTCTAATGTTCATAAAAAGACATAACAATAAGCAGTGAGTAGAAAATAACTAGATATTACAAAATATCATAAAAATACCTACAATGTGTCTAAAATTCTTTCTGCAACTATTATGAGCTCATTCTTTGTTTCCTTTCATTTCCTATTATGTATAAGTTTTCTTGGTAAATCAATTTCATGATTCTCAATAAAAGTAGTAACAAATTCATTACATTTTCTTTTCACTGCAGACGAGAGAGATGAAGGTACCATTTGTCATGCTAGTTTCATAAAAGTATTCTTAAATTGCCTTGGTAGATTTTGTATAATTTCCGACTTATCAGAAATTACCTGACTAGCTAGAGAGTCCTTCCATGATAATTCAGCAATATTCACATTATTTATATTTTGGTATAGATACTGGTTAATCGGCGTCATTGTATTTTTCTTGAGTTTGGCCTTCAACTCATTTATATTTTTCTTTATCTTATTTGTGTTTAGAGGCATCTCTTTATTTGTTTTAATTGCTCTTATGTCACACAAACTGCAGACTTCTTCAAAAGCGATTTCAAACTAATATAATAGATGATGCATTAGTTTTAGTAATACAAGAATTTCATCATTAAAAAACGCATACGCTATCAGTACATATGCAACGTTATAGCCATCACGCTAATAAAACCCTGTGTGATACTAAAATAACTACATAATATCCTATGGACGAACCACTCCCTCATGCATCGAGAATTATTCTTAGGGCAGAGCTAATGGAATGATTAAAAACATAGGCGATAGTTTAAACACCCTCCATATAGTTCAAGAAAATAGTTTTTTTAGATGCAGGCTAATAGGATGAATACACTATCATTTCAACCTCGTTCCTAAAAGTAGATCACATAATATCATCATTTAGTGAAAAAAATATATTATAAAGGTTAACAACTAACCTGAGGAAGTATTTGAAGTAGTTTTAATTGGTGCAAAGGTTTTTCAGAATACAAAATACTAGCAAATCCTATAGCCTGATCCACAATACTTCTCAAATCATTTTGTAAAATCCAGGGGCCTTCTTCTATTTCCTGATATATAACTGAGGTAGTAGTAATATGTTCTTGTTTAGCTGTTACTAAAAAATTGTAAATTTTTGAATATAATTCAGAAGACATAGTTTAGTATTATTAATATAGAATAAGCAACCTGAACGAAAAATTTCATATGCTATTTTTTTAAATGATTTTATGTACATTCTCTCTGGACTTGTATTCATGTTAGGGAAAAGAGACAGAAGAATATGCAATGCTTTTTACGCCAAAATTTTGCATTAGAGAATAGGGATATGCATTGAAGATCTTAACATTTAGAAAGGTATTGGGGGTAATGCATATATATATATATAGATTTTTTTGTCTATTTGGATTAGAATGACTGAAGAAAGGAAAAATATCCCTATGATCAAAGATCTTCAGGGTGAATAGCTATTAAGGTTTATCTTCTGCATTAAAGGAGAGGTCGATTTTATGTAAAAAATTATTTTATCGTACAAGCAGATGGTCGCACTTGCACAGATGATTGATAGTGTATAACTATTATATCATATATGCACTTCACATGTTTTATTATAAATTGGCAGGCGCAGGTGAATATGGAGCTAATATAATACATTTCCCTATATAGAACTATTTTTTATTTATGTATCTACTTCGATCATATTCTAAAAAATCTATAGATGGTTTTTCACCTGCAGGTAATATATTTCTACAGATTAGCTCTCTGTTTATAAAATAATACTAGATATGGTATTAGGAAACATTTTGAGCCAGCTCTGGGCTCTCTCAGGAAGTTCTATCTTTATACCACCAATTACTGTTAGGCGGAATATTAATATGTAAATCAAGTTGTTCCAACATTTCTATTCTGACTACTAGTGTACTAACTAGACTTTTTTTAGTATCAAGATAATATTCGGGATTCTATGCCCATTTTATTGTAGTATACCACTTTGATATATAATCTTTTTATTGTAATGTTTTTCTAGCATGAACAAAAAGTATCCAACCTAATCAATATAATAATTGATTTTTTTTCTCTTCCGCCCAAGTTATAGGAGAATAAAAGATATAATTATATAGTATATTAAAATAATCACTTTTTTAGTTAAATTTTATGAGTTTTCCATTAATATAATAATAAGCTTCATCACAAGGAATAATACCTAAATACTTTCACCTGTCAGGAGTATCGTCATTCTTCACCACCTCTCAAACTTGTTTTGCCAAAAATTTGGGTCTCTTCTTATAATTCCTGTAAGCTCGCTGGATAACTGTTGCATAGAAATTTTCAAAACTATAATTATGGTATTTAGAAATCAAGAACTCCCATGATTGCTTCATTGAACTTCCCTTCTCTTTTTCTCATATTCATACGAAAAAAATGTGTGAATAAGTTATATATTAATAAAATAATGGTCTATATTTAAAATATTTCTCAAAATCAGTCAGTCTTGCAGTTAAACAATCATGATTTCTATCCCATTTCTCAATCTTAACGTAGTATCTTTGGTTGATTAAGATGGTTTGTGAATGGTAGCAAGTTATTTTGTTTTGCATACTAAGACAAGATAAATAATCCACTTGTCATGTGTTTTCTTAGAAAACCTTCTGAATATTAATAAGAAGTTGTTGATAAAGGAGGATGATTTAATAAATAGGCCTTAGCCATGGAATATGATTCATCTTTGGTCTCGGTCTTGAAGCAAGAGCAATTCTAATGATTCTTCATCAAATCTTTAGACTCAACTTCATAGGCCCATCTACGCCATCCATCATAATAAACTTTTCTAGGTCTATGATAACCAAAATAATTTTCATTTAGCTCATCATTAACGTAATATGTTTTAGATTCTACTTGCCCAAATGAAGCGAAAGGCTGTATACATGATATAAGCTATATTCTCTAGAAAAAAGCAACTTTTGTAAAGGAACTCTTACACAATTAGCTTATTGTTGAGGTGTTTCATGAGGTCTAATGATAGACAAATAATCATATTGCTTTTCTATTTCAACCACTTTTTTAAACTGTTCGTTTAAACCTCCATTATAATAGTTAGCAACATGTCCCATATCATATCCAGGACAGATATTGATAGGTTTATGTACAGCTTTATTATAAATATTATCTAAAATGATCTTAACCATTAATCCAAGCATTTTGATAATTATATGTGATTATAGACAATAAATAAGACTTATAGCAATTTAGTGATTTATAGTGTTTTAACGAATATTTAGCGTTATAGTAGTTTGTAACAAGTATATTCTAATAAAATATCAGATTCATTTTTATTCGATTATTCGGGTGAAAACAGATCTATAATTTTTGATTTGGTTAAATTAAACCTGGATCACCGTGAACAGCACAGTGCCTTCAGCTAAAATTTGTATCACATATGATCTTCCTAAATCCCTACCAGTTTCTCGATAGTTTTAGAAGAGTTCCAGGAGCTGGCAAGTTTCTATGCACAGCACCTTCAGCTAAATCATGAGATGATCAGCCGATCAGATTTTTTTATCAGATAAATACCTATTTTTCTGATGGTAGAGTTTGGACACAGTGTCCGGGCTCGTCAAAAATGCGCAGAAGCGGGATCAGCATCTGGTTAAATTTATCTCCGAAACCCCTCCCTTGATCTTTGATCTGCGGGAGATAACCTATCCAGTTAGCTTGCTCTGATATCATGCTTTACATATTACAGCTAAACAATCTGGAGAACTATGTTTCCGGTGGTTGAGGCTTCTGCTTTAAAATTTCAATTTCAGCAATTATATAATCTTTTTCATCTTTGTTCATAAATAATATGAATAGACTGTGAAGAAAAAATCACGTATGCGTGACCATTTGTCACATTGACCACTTTTGCCTAGAAAAATTTTGTGAAATATTTCCTCCTCATGCAAGTAAGCGAAAAAACAAACAAACGAAACTAATAAAATTTGATCAAATCTACCGCCACTGCACAAGTGCACATCATTAATACTATTAATCAAACGAACGACTATATCTGCATAGTAAAAATGGAGCATGTTTGCTTGATTTCTCAGCTTAATTCTAAAAAAAACGTTATCACAATGCTAATCCGTTTTCCTGGCCTTTATGCGAACATTATTATTCTTGGCTCAAATTTTCGTCACATGCCACTGATGTTACGAATAATTTACCTAGCATTGAGTTTTGGCTGAATGAATCATAATTATGAAATATAACGGTGAAACGTATTAATGGAGTGATATAGATAAGCGAAATTTTTATTAGATATTTTGATGTTAGTAAAAGTGATAGAACAAACAATTAATTAGCTTTAGAAATTATTCGAAAGCAAAGAAATAATATGATGCAGGACTCACATTAATAGTTTAGGATTCACATACTCTCTCCTCCCTCTTTCATTAAATATTTCGATTGCTAATCTACACTTTTTGATTCGTTAAAAGTAAAAACATTATATTATTTGCTATGTTGTATATGGATTTGCTCATCAAAAAAATAAAATACATGTATCAATTATGCTATTAACTAACAATTATTTTTTATTCAGATTTGTACATATGTGATTATACATTTTAAAATACGTTATCAGAAGGTTTTAGTCTTCATATCTGATATTATTGATATTTTCAAATATTTGACTATAAAATTGTGGTCGCGATACAAGCGACGGAGTGTAAATTTTTTTTAAATTTTCTCTTTCAACAATAATTATATTTTTATTATTTAATACTTCATGACTGAGCGTTCCTAAGTTTCTCTAAACCATGAAAATCAGATAAATATCATTTTCGGTTATTTTGAGTTTTCCCACAGAAGATTTATCATAAAATGATCCATTTTTCCATGCATCAGTTTTACTTCTAAGTTTATTGCGTAAATATCTTACATGCATAAGGTATTTCCTTCTCGTATTTTTATATTTATCCAATATTTCATTACTTTCTAATGTTATTTGATGGTCTCAATAAGTAAATATGCATTCAATGTTGATTGCGATATAGCCAGATTCGTCTGCTTTTCTTTCAAATATAACCATGTCAAACCCACTATTTTTCAATTTTTTGGGAACGAATAAATAATCAATAAGATTCTCAAAAAATTTTCCGGATGAATCATATATTGTATCATTCAGAGGGAATTCTATTTTCTCATGATAATATGCAACTTCTCTCTTTCTTTGTAGCTGTATCTCAATTTTTTCTTGGCCTTTGTCAGATAAGCTATAAATCTTATGAAGACTTATCTTCTTTCCATTTTCATGAAGCACACGGTATAATAATTCCCAGTTTGCATGAAAACTTTCAAAGGGTTTTCCATCCATTACTTCATCATCAAAAGATGATTCTATAGTAAGTAGGCTTTGTAGTATATTAGTGATAGTTTGCGTATCACCACCATCATTATTGTTTAAACAAAAATATTGTAGACTAACTGGTGATAAGATGAAAATAACAAACTGGGCTTCACTTTTTTCAGTAAGTGAATTAACGTAAACTCTGAAAGAAATGAGGGCTGAAATGCTTAATTGTTCACTATTAATATTTATAATATGACTTAATCTTACTATTTTTCCTAGTAAAGTCATTTTAATTACAGGAAAAGATATATTCTTATACCATTCTTCAATATGCTTTATCAAGATTGCGATAAGAGAACTGTAATTGTGAATTTTCTTGGCTTTTTCATTGCTATTAAAAACTTGATAAAATTTTTCTAGGGTCCTCGGATGTCCATTACAATTGGCAATACATTTTTTAATGACAAACAACCTACGCTCTTCTAAGTTTAAACTTCTTATAATTTTATTAAATAATTCTGCCGATTCTGAAATCTCCAGTCTTCTTAATGGTATCCATTCGATTTCTCTACCTGAGTCAGTCATATTACTTTGCACATAAACTGCATCAAACATGGTCAGGATAAAATTAAATTTGATCAACTCTTCTCTGTCTTTCGCAAATCCTTGGTAGGGATTATAGAGATGATTTAAGAATTTATTAACTTTAGTTTGTTTTTAATTTGTATCAGTGTCTGACAAAATTTTCATAGTCTCATCAATGCATAGAAATACTCGTTTATTCGAATGATATAAGATGCTTTGAACAGCATTCATAAATTTTATTAAAAAATTTTAAATATTTTATTTTTTAGAAAAAGGAAAAGATTTTTATTTTAATTTTTAAATAAATTAAATTTATATAATATTATATTATAATCATATTTTACATAATGAATATCATAATACAAGTGAATTGGTAAAGTTAGCTATATATAATCTAAATGCATATTTGTGTTTGATCTCAAGAGGGTAGATGCATTTATAAAGAGTTGACTATAGTTTTTTTAAAGTAGTTATATATTAAAATATTTTAAAAATATATTTAATATATATTAATTATAAATAAAATAAATTGATTTTAAAATTATATAATAATTAATATATTTTTTATATTACTTAATTAATTTATAATAATATTTAAATTTATTATTTATAATTTATATTATGACTATTTTTTTTTTGAATTAAGTAATTAAGCTTAAATATAGAATTTATTAATTATAAGATAATAAATAGGATAATAATTTTTAACTAAAAATGTTTTTTAATTATAAAATTTTATTTATTATTATTATAATATATTATTAGGTTTAATATATAATATTTTATTAAATATATAAAATATGATTACCAGTAAAATCATATTACAGATTATATGATAAACTATTTTATTTATTTAATAAAAAATATTATTTAATTTAGTTAAATTACTTTATTATAAAAAAATTTAAAATTCATTTAAATTCAATAATTAATTTAACTCAAATTCAAATAATTTTTAGTATAAATTTAATATAGTTATATTTTTTTTAAATTTTTATTATTTTTATTAAAATAAATATATATATTTATTTAAAGATATAAAATTCACTATACAGTATATATATAATTCAGTATATTTAAATATAATTTTTAAGCTAGACTAATAAAGTATTCTATAAATAAAAAATTCTTTTTAGATTAATAAGTATTAATTAATATTTAAGGAATAATTAATTTAGAAGCATCTGAATGAACCTTTCTTTGGCTGATTAATCGTATCATTCATTGATATAATCAGAGTTAATTTTGGATAAAGAATATTTCCATGTGAAAATAATTGCTTTGCGAGATTGTATATAAAAAATTCGATTAATAAACAAATTCAGGAGTTTTTTTTTTTTGAATGATAAATTCTTTTTTAAAATTTGTAATTTGGGACAATTGACTCAAATTGCTGTCAAACAACTATAAATATTCAGCTTCATTATTGTTTCTTGATAATAATGGTCCGTGATTTAAAAGATTCTTGTTTCATAGATTTACATCATTTCAAATTGGTATTTGATGTAAAAAAAATTCGAACGCGAAATGTTAAAGGTTCGTTAAGTCAATTACAATATTGATTTATAGAAAGTTACACGAGTTCAGGATGGAAAAAAATTTGCACTTCTTCTTATTCCTCTTTTAGACAATTTGCGTTCATTATAGATTAGTTACACGGGTTTTAATTTATACGTTGGTTAGTTTGACCTTTTATGTTATTTTTGCATACAAGTTTGTTCATGACAACTTCCATTGATGGAAAAGAGTAACAGAATTCAAATAGAATTTGATTTATCGGAAAATTTGCCTGTGTTTCGGATCTTTAGTTTTGATACGAAATTAAATTCTATTAATTTACATTATGTAATCCAATCGATGTAATAATTATTTCTTTTATCCGAAAATTCTACTATTTATGTTATCATATTATCAATCATAAAATCATGATTTTAACCAAAAAAATTGTTTCGGCAAAAAAACCGATTACGGTACTTTCCGATTTTTACAGCTGATTATGTCGTACATAAATAACAATTACTGAGCTTGGGATGACAATTTGAGGCTTATTTGGCTTATTTAAAAAATATAAAATTATGTAAACAAAAATTACTTTCATATTGTTTATTATTGATAGTTTCAATATGTAGGAATCCGATCTCTTTTTATTATGTTCGCGTGACAGTTCGGAACATATCAACACATTGTTATTATTATGCCTCCGACCTATGGGTTAAACACGAGATTTTATAGAACCCATTGAAGTTTCCAGAAATCCTTTGTAGTGAAACTTTTTAAAAATATTTTCACTAAGCAAACTTCAATAGGCCCTTAATCAGTTCCGGCTTGCAGGCTTGGGTATATATTGAGTAGTCGTTCTTTAGGAGGTTCCCAACTAAATATCTTCTCGTCTTACTCGGAAAAAAAATTTTTTTTTCAGTTTCCTGTACATTTTGTTAAAGCAAAGACCTCTTTTTTTAACTCTAAACTTTTTAAAAATAATTAAAAATAAATATCAACAATGACTGGTCGTGGTAAAGGAGGTAAAGGACTTGGAAAGGGAGGCGCTAAGCGTCATCGCAAAATCCTTCGTGACAACATTCAGGGTATCACCAAACCTGCCATCCGTCGTCTTGCTCGTCGTGGTGGGGTAAAACGTATCTCGGGTCTCATCTACGAAGAAACTCGGGGTGTCTTGAAAGTGTTTCTTGAAAACGTTATTAGAGTATGTATATATATATATAATATAAAGAGTAAAGGGTAATCTTTCTTTTTAAAGGCATTATAGTATGGTTTTAATTGATAAATTTTCTTCTTCCCATACAGGACGCTGTTACCTATACAGAACACGCCAAGCGTAAGACCGTCACGTCTCTTGACGTTGGTAAATATCTCGTTGTGGTTATATTTATTTGATATTCAAGCTTTTATTTATTGCTGTATTCTTTTTCACGAAAATTATTGATCATTGATGTATTTTTTTTTCATTTTTATCAATAGTATACGCGCTTAAACGACAAGGACGTACTCTTTACGGTTTCGGTGGATAAACTTTTTGTTCGTCTACATATGGATTTACTCTAATAAAAAGGCGAAATTCTGCTTTGATTAATAATACATGGGTCGGTGAAAAATAAAAAAAAATTATATATATATATACTTTTTACTTTATCAATTATAATTGCTGTATATAGGGAAAGATTATAAATTCTTTATTATTTTCTTTCCAATTCCATCTCTACTCTACCATTTGCGTTTAATAAAGAATATTCCAATACCCTTGTTAACACTTTCACCTATAGAATAGAGAGATTTAACAGAATGTAAATGGAATAAAAAAAAATTATTTTCAAAATTTGCTGTTTCACAATTAAAATTATGTAATTGTGTAATTGTGTTCATTTTTATTGATGTAAAATCGGTGCTAATGTGTTTAATTGTCTTCGCATCATCATTTATTCAATTTATTTTGATTTCTTTTTAATGATGCTGATGCGAACATGGAATACTTTGGATCGAAAAAAAATGAATTTTTTTTTGCCGAATCTGTGATGTTATTATTAATCTAAATACTCAAATTCATTTATTTTATCAAGGTACTACAAATTTCTTTTAATAAAGTCGATTTCGGGAATATTTGAAATAAAATTTTCAATAATAAATTGTACTACTTTTATCAAATTAACAATTTATTCTTATCCAATCATATAAGTTAAATTAGTTAATTGTATGTTTCATAATTATTTTTTTCTTTTAAATGAGCTTTTATTATAATTAATTTTATATTCATCATCATCGCCGGTTTCATATTTTTTATATAAGTTCTAAATTAAGAAAGATAATTGGAAATTTTCTTTATTTATTATGTGGGAGGTTTGCTAGGAAAATGGGGCTCTGAGCATTTTTTATTAAAATTTTAATTTTTATTGCATTTTAGTTTTTGA